TTGCAATAACGCACGCAGAATTAAAAAGTGTCTTTCGTTTATAAAATTTCAAGGACAAAAGCAAAACGAAATGCGGAAAATGTTTAGAATGACATTAGAAGAGAAAGAATCATCATGGAACAGCGATTAAAAAAATATTTGATCCATTATTTTTTTTACATATGTGTCATACTGAGTTTTCATTAACATTACATAATTTATTTCTTTTTTCCTTAAAATCAGTTCCGTTATATTTTACTCAAAATTAGCTTATTTTGTTTACTATAAAACATTGAAAATAAATGTTAAAACTGATTTCAGTTCTTTTATTTTAATCTAAATATAAACCCTCGTATCCGGACTTTGCAACCAATTCCTCTTATCTGGAAGGACTTCGGTTGTCAGGAATTCTACTGTACTTAGATTACAGCAATTAAGGTATTGGACCTAAATCCATTTGGAAAATTAAGGGCCTGCTTGAAGAAAAAATGGGAGACACAAATGCATCGAATTTGGGGGCACGGTAGAGTAATGGATAGCGGATCGGATTGAGGAGCGGCGTTCGAATTCCAGTCGGACCTATTACGTTCACTTACGTGCTATTAACCTTGGTACGAAGCCTATTTTCCTCGCCACTCCAGTAGGAGAGATTGGGTTCTATAGCCTTGGGTGGCAACCGGTCTAGAAGAAAGTAACTCTGAATTCAAAAATGTCTGTAGACCTGGCGTAGCACGTACTATACAGCTAAAGAAAAAGATCGTTCCGTATAGGATGCAGGTTCGAATCCTGTCAAAGGACGAATATTTTCTATGAAAAATTTCTCGGACATTCAGGCCGGTAAATGTTATTTAATACTGTTTATTATAAACAGAGCATTTACTTAAATACTTGTATCTATAAAAAGAACGTTAAACTTAAAAAAAAAAAATGTCTTTAATAAAAAATATATATATATAATATCGGTAAGTTTAAAGGATAATCGAAGTTGGTCTTTTTTAATATAAAATATTAAAAAGCTGCCTCTACAAAGACAGCTCAATGTATAGTATAGAGAGCAATATCATATGCATCAAGGAAAAACTTAACGCATCACTGAAATAACAACATTTTAAAATTTCGGTCTGGTATAATGGGTGTTAAAAACTTACCCGTTGAGATAAATTATAATTTATAACCGTGTTTTCGATGATATGTTAAGGTTTTTTATATATATATATATATATATATATATATATATATATATATATATATATATATATATATATACACCGGTTTAACAGCATCACTATAAAAAAAATCATTGAGTTAGAAAGTGAACAGGTTAACATCGTTTTGTTTTAGCAATGTTGAGGGAAAAACCCCTTTCTTAATAATAATTCAGTATTCGTACTAACATTCATACTATTGCTTCTATCTTCAAAATCTATTCAAAAACCATCAATTAAAGAGTGAATAATTTTAAAAAGAGACGGAACTGTAGAGATGAAAACTAAATCAGGAGGCCACAACAGGAAGCGGAAGAGACCATCATTTCAAATTAGAGCCAAGGGAGATCAATTAACAAAAGAAACCAACTCAGTCTATAAAAGGCTTACCACGTATAAGATTTTCACCTATGACAGTGCAAAGAGTAGTAAAAAAAAAGACTTGAAAATGAAATCGTATGTGAAACATGTGAGGCAACTTGCTAGTCTCGGACAGAATGTTAGAAGATTAAACAGGGCGAAAATCATCTTGAAAAAGTTGGAAAATGAGCCTGGAAGAATATATATATATATATATATATATATATATATATATATATATATATGTGACGTCCTTGTCGCAGTGCTAGTTGTGACGTCCTTGGTCGCGGCGTCAGCTCGCTCCTCGCTGCTCCGTTCGGGTGTCGCTGCTCCAAACGTGACGTCCGCCTGTCGCGTCAGTCGTGTTGTCTCGTCCTGTGACGACCAACTGGCTTGGTATCGGTCGCGGCACCCAAATGTGACGTTCTAACCTTTCGGATGGGAATCTGGTTAGATTCGATATCAGTCTCGTCGTTCCCAACTCGCTTCCAACGCCTGGTTACCAAAGTAACTGCATTGATCTCCAGTTCGCCTACCCACGTTGTGAATTGATCTTAGGCAGACGAGATCAATCAGTAGTTGGCGCCGTAATGAGAATCGGGTTTAAACGGTGTGACACCACACAAATATGGATAAAATAAAATAAAATGATAATTCAAAAATTTAAGGTATCAAAAAAAGGATAACAAACTTTATGTCTAGTTGTTGGATACATAGGACTGCGTCTATTTCCCCGACCCGTTCTATGGATTGTGACACGTTGTTTTCCGTTAGGTGAGTTTTAACGCTTCAAGTTGTTTGCTCTTTAAGAAATTGGTTTTTCGGTGTGTCTTCGGGCGAAAGTCGAAAAAAAAACTTATTTTGGTGGTCTGGATCTAAGTCGCTCTTCAAATTAATTGTTCTTGGATTGAAGAGGAGTCCGGAATTTGCGTGAATCTTTCAAGTCAGCTATCTGCGAGGTGGAATTCTCTCGAACCGAACTGGAACTCAACTCGAACTTAACTGAAACTGAATCTGCAACTTAACTGATTTCCGCTCGCAGCGACTTCGCTTATATGGACGCCGACCAAAACCGGGGTAGATTTGTCGGCGCCGGGGGTTCCTCGATAATTCTAAATACATATCCAACTCTTTTATTTCTGGTTAGGAATTTTCCACTTTTTTCCATTTTTGGGAGCTTTCTCTTACTCCCACCTTCTCACCATACTTCATAGGGGCGTGAACTGCCCCCCACTTCTTTGTAGCAACTTCTCATACCCATCCTCTAGATGGGCGGCGACAGCCTCCTTCGTGCGTCACGTGATCACCACTCGACCAATGATGTCTTAGTCGGGCGTGTACGATTCCGCGGCTTTGTTTCAGGAAAAAAAATATCTTGCTTAACTAAAAAAAAAATTATCTTTTTCTTTTCCTTTTCTTCCTTTTAATCACAGTTATCATTTTCTCTAGCCGCAAACAGAAAAATACGAACGACGGTGGTCATAACTCTTGTTCTTCACCTGGGCTTCGTCAGTCATCTTATCGCTAATTATCAGAATGGGTGACTTTTTAACACGGCCAGACGTCGCCTCTAAAAGAAACATTTCTAAGTTCCCATTCAATTTTTTCGGTACACATTTCTGATAACATAGTTTTATTATCGCAGGCTAAAGATGTTCCGTCGAAAGAAATCGGTCAGTGGACACATCGTGTGCGGCTTTTGACACAATTAATTTTTCATATCTATCCAAAGCCCTGTAGTTTCACCTGTGTTTTGTCAATTATCAAAATTAACGTTTTCAATTGGACTTTCCTTTGGCTAGTCGGTCTAAGGTTTGCTTAATCAGATGCTTTTCCGCACCAGCGGTTTGTTTATGTATCCCAGATAACACAGCCCGTCGCCAGAACACACCCGATTCCTTTATCCACTCAGAATTTCTCTGCCATTCTAATGACACTCTTTCGCCACCTGCTACCTATCAAAATATCCTTTATCCATTGTCTCTTTAGCCGTGGTGTTCTGCTTATCATCCACGCTTTGGGTCTTCCTCTCCTTTCCTTTCTTTTCTTTTCTTTTCTTTTCTGCCTTGGTAAATGGTGCCACACACACACACACACACACACACACACACACACATATATATATATATATATATATATATATATATATATATATATATATATATATATACTTATTATACTTGAATTCTTCCTGAGATTCCGATCTTTGTCTATGATTAAATAATGATGAACATATCATTTTCTTTTATGATCGACTTCATCGCGTTTCTTATGTTAAGGTTAGAGAGAAATTATACTTTATTATTGCTCAAGGTCGACACCATTAGTGTTATAATAACATCATAGTAATCCAGTAAGATTTCTTTAATCGTTTCCATGGTACAAAACTTCAAAGCTTAATCTAACAATTCGACAATTTTGCTGCTACCTAATATATATATATATATATATATATATATATATATAGATCAATTTCAAGATGATAGAATCGAAGTAGAACTCAATGTCCAGGCTAAAATCATCATGAATAAGTTGTAAAATGAAATATATATATATATATATATATATATATATATATATATATATATATATATATATATATATATATATATATATTCTTTTAAACATGTCTGATTAAACAATTTTCACATATGTTTACTTATTTTTAATAAAAATCCTTTCTTAGCCACGTAAAAGCTTTCTTGTTTCATGATTAAAGCTTCTTTTGTTTCAGAATAAAGGACAATAATGAAGGATTGCTGCCTTTAATCGTGAAACAAGAAAGTTTATGTTTGATTAAAAAGGATTTTAAATAAGTAAACATATGTCAAAATTGTTTAATTAGACATATTTAAATGGAAATATATATATATATATATATATATATATATATATATATATATATATATATATATATATATATATATATATATATATATATATATATACATACATACACCCCTTGTGCTAATATAGTTTCCTTTCTTTCACCATACGGTCTTTTTTACAACCACTGGAATGACAGGGTGTAATCGATTTCTATGTTTTGCTCAGACTGGGTCGTTTGCAGTGCTGTGCATTTATATGAATCTATTTTCGGGGTGAATTATGAAATTTGTTTGCCCTTGAAATATATTTTTTAATCAAGTCCCGAAACTATTGTCTCGACTGTCGATTAGCTGTCCTACGACCATTGTCTATGATGGACTTTACTCCAGGAAAGCGTACGAAAATTGTAACGTTGCAGAAATACACTGACAAGCCTTACCAGTGAGCAAATCATAGTACTATGTATAGACTGGCCCGGAATCTCTCCTGGTTTAGATCTAATCGAGAATCTGTGATTAATCTGGAAGGAACGACTTCGTGGAATGGGGATACAAAGTAGTAATATGTGCATTAGGTCATGTTTCATTAGAAAAATACGAAATAAATTAACTAATAAAGGAATTATTTGTTTTGTTTCAAATAATTTGCACAAGGGTGTATGTCTGTCTGTTTGTATGTGTGATTGTGCGCGCACATGTGTGCGTCTGTGTGTGTACAATAATAGAATTACCAGATATAGAAAATAGAGAGGACACAGAAATAAGATTAAATGACCGAATATCTGACTACCTCATGAAACCTAAAGAATTCTGTATTCTATTGTCATGACTGGATATAATGCATCAAAGGTTGCAATTATTTTTTTGTCTGCATTGATGACAATATAGCGGCTTTTCCTACAGCATAATAATGCAACACCTCATACCTAACAAATCTTCATCTAATATCTTATGCAGCTAAGCATCGAGGTTCGGCCACCACCCTGGGTTTTCACCGGACCAATATCTTGCAGATTATCACTTTTACAGAATCTGGGGTGTGTACGTGCCAGCAGCTGTCAACTAAGCCGAGGCAGGTCCAAAAAAGCCATTCGGCAGTTTGACGACACCCGTAAGTACAGTTTTTATCGTGATGGAATAAATTTAATGTCTACTCATGGGCAGAATTATATCCATTCTAATAACCGTTCTCTCGGAAAAGTAACTTTTGCTTGAGGCGAGATGCATCAGTTTAAAATATGTGATTCAACATGGCCATTTACTCTGTTACGAAATGCCAGATATGATAGATATGAACAGACTGAGATAGATAGATATGAACAGACTGAGATAGATAGATAGATAGATAGATAGATAGATAGATAGATAGATAGATAGATAGATAGCGAGTTTAATCGATAAAAATGAAAGATAAATTCTAAAATACTACGGGTGACTGATACGAACTGTTTGAGCTTAAGCGATCAATACGAATCGAAAGAGCCCGGTAGATATATATGGACTGACAGTCATAGATATATAAAATTTCACCGAATATGTAAGATAGATAGATAGATAGTAAGAGAAATGGCTAAAACGTACAGAAAATTCTAAAATACCAAGAGACATAACAAATTGCCTGAGTTTAATCGATTGATACGAATCAAAATAGGTAGATATATATTGACTATTATACTGTATAAAACTTAACCGGGTATGTGAGATAGACAGTTATGTGCAGACTAACATAGATAGATAGATAGATAGATAGATAGATAGATAGATAGATAGATAGAAGGAAAAAATAAAAGAAATGAACAGATTGGGAAATAAATAAAGAAAATAAATAAAATACATGAATAGACTGGGATAGATAGATAGATAGATAGATAGATAGATAGATAGATAGATAGAAGGAAAAAATAAAAGAAATGAACAGATTGGGAAATAAATAAAGAAAATAAATAAAATACATGAATAGACTGGGATAGATAGATAGATAGATAGATAGATAGATAGATAGATAGATAGAAGAAAAGAAATGAAAAGACTGGGATAAAAAGAAAGAAAGAAAGAAACAAACAAAAAACAAAAAAAAAACAAAAGAAAGAAAGAAAGAAAAAGAAAGAAACACACAAAGAAACAAAGAAAAATAATTAATAAAAGAAATGAACAAACTGGGATAGATAGATAGATAGATAGATAGATAGGGTAAAAACCTGCTTGGATAGATAAATGTGAATGAACGCTGAATAACACAATCACGTTGATAGTTTTATGCTTTGAGTCGAAAAACGAAAATGCTTCCGTTTTTTAAGTGAATAGCCTTGGTTACCAATTACTCCACCTGATCAGTTTGTATATTAATCTATTTATATATTCATACGTATATATATATATATATATATATATATATATATATATATATATATATAACAAACATATATATATATATATATATATATATATATATATATATATATATATACATACATATATATATATATATATATATATATATATATATATATATATATATATAATGTTGACTGTCATTATTTGACCGAGTGGCTAGTTCTACTGCTGGTTGGAATTTATTAAATATTTCTCTTAAAATACTTTATTCAGGAAAATAGTTTTCTCAAATCCAGTATCTTTTATCGCTCTTTCCACTATTGATGATGTTTTCCTTGATTATGTCATTTTCTCTTCCCGTTTACATGTGATACCCGTTTTAGTTGTTGCTGTTAGTGAAGGTTCTCAAGTGATGTGGTCTCTTTGTGATACTGTAACGTCAGCACACAAAAGTTCGAAAGTTGATGGTTTTCGCCAAAACCCTGAGGCTCCACGGGCTCAAATCCATATTGACCACTGATCTGAGAGCATGGTTGTATAGAGATGACCGTTTAGATATCTCTGAACAGGCGTGACGCCATGCACATGGAAACCTCGATCTGGCAAGGCTATTAAGAAAACGACACTAATTTAATGTTAATGGTTAATGCTATTTTTTAAGCTTTTCACAGCAAGGAAGGCAGGATTGCAACTAACACACAAGGAGTTACAAAGAGTGGGAGAACGAGTAAAGAAGCGTGATAGAAGAAAGGATGTAGAGAAGGACGGAGAATAGATAAAAATATCTGGAGTTTTCGACTGAAATATCCTTTGAATAGTTTGAAATTATAGCAATCAGGGAAGCAAGTAAGAGGAAGGGAGTTCCACAGAGGGGAAGTGCGAGACATGAAGCTATTGATGTAGAAGAGACGGCTACATTTAACTGTTTCGACAGTGAAAGGTTGGGACTTAGATGCTGAACTATTGGCACGTTTAATTCATGCAGTTTGAGAACGAGCGAAAGTATCTCGTCTGAGTAGTTACCGGGAGAATATTTGTAGAAAAGAGAGGGGGAAGTGATGGCACGTCTATTAGAGAGCAACTGTTAACGAGATGCCAGATCAGATCCAAAACCATTGCATATCTGTCTCTGGATTTTGTCGATGACCTTAAGACGAACAGCGGGGTCACAAGACCATATATGGCAGCAATATTCTATGCAATGGCGAATGGTTGATTTATAGATTTGGCGCGACATAGAGAACCAAATTTCCATCCGGTAGATGAAGCTATTGATTCAATATATTTGTTCCATTTCAGGTCAGTGCACCAAACAGTTGTAAAGAGGTGCTCTCGTGGATTTGAACATCTGACATTCTAATCGGTGGCAAGGAGGATTATCTGTGGTGGGTAATAAAGTGCAGTTTTGTTTTTAAGGCATTAAAGTTAACAAGCCATTTTTTTTTACCCAAACAACAACCGATTGGAGGTTCTTTTCGAGACCAACGGTGAGCTTAATTTTTTCAGCAATACCAGATTTGTTATTTAGGCAGGAATAAATAGTAGTGTTGTTTGCGCAGATGCCTTTCTCTTCTCTGCTTAACTTCCTTTTTGCCTTTAATAAATTTGGTATAATTGGTCCATAGACCGATCTATTTGAAGTGTTTACAATTTACTAATTCCACGTGCTATTTTTTTTTTTATGGAGGATCCAGTGTCTGTTCCATCACTGCTTTCATTCCAATTCCCAACCATAGTTCCTGTTTTGAAAAAAAGGGTTATCTTGAGATCAATTTCTTGGAACCTTTGGAAAAAGAGAAAACAGTCCAATCTCACGAAATTAGTAGGACTACTATAAGTTTTGAATAAAGAATAAAATCACAAATTTAGTAACTTTTTGTTCAGTTACTTTCTGAATCTTTTTCATGACCCAATATCACGGTGGAGTTATGGATAGCGGCTTGGATTGAGGAATCAGAGAGCCGAGTTCGAATTCCAGTCGAATCCATTACCTCCACGTATAACCTGGGAAAGGTATGAATCCTCTTCTTCTCTCCCAGCTATGAGCAAACATCAGGACAGTGGCTTCTATAGCGTTGGATGGCAACGAGTCTACCTCAGAAAGAAATGGAAACCTACTGTAGTGACCAATATTATTTCCGTAGAGCAGATGTGTCTCACGCTTGAAGTAGCATTGTGCTGCGAGCATGGTTTTATTTAACTTTATTTATTTTGGATCTTCACCAGATCCAGTTTGATGCCTGTGGAGATGATGTGAAGCACGCTTTAGGTTCCGGCCACTGATGCTCACCTTCAAAAGGAAGGAAACGATTGACATATATATATATATATATATATATATATATATATATATATATATATATATTATATATATTCTGTTTCTGCGGGCGTCAATAGTTTAATGACGTACGATGGCCGTTAATGATTAATTATAACTCAAGACTTCAATGCTGAAGAAAAACTGTATTTAATTACAACCGTAAATAAATGCTTAACGAGAAACAGAGAAGTAAAAGTCAACCAAAGATAATTAACCATTTCAGTGAATACCTTTTTAGTAACGTGGCTCGGTTTAACGTCCGGTAAATCTTAAATCAAAACCCAAATCATCTTCACAATAATGCACACTAATTCGACTGGATAGTTCCAATCAATAGTCACTCAATAATCACTCCAGTCAGTAGCCTGACACCTCTATTTATGCAATAAAGGTAGAAATATATTCATAAGTCCAATGTCGGTAGTTACTCGTTTTCTTTCTATATGACAGTAAACCAGTGGAAAAACACGAAAACATCCATCGACAATTCCCTTGGTATATAAAAAAACAAGTTTAACAGCGAATTTATACAACTCAGTATAAAAATTAATTCTACCCTTCAGTAAGCGAAATTATGTTAGTAAAAGTCAACCAAAGATAATTAACCATTTTAAGTGAATACCTTGTTAGAAGCGCGGCTTGTCTTAACGCCCGGTAAATCCTAAATCAAAACCCAAATCATCTAAAAAATAATGCACACTAATTCAACTGGATAGTTCCAGTCAATAGTCACTCAATAATCACTGCAGTCAGTAACCTGACACCACTATTTTCTACACGTGGCGGAAAACATACATTCATAAGTCCAGGGTGTCACGCTCGAACCTCGTTGTCGGTAGTTACTCATTTTCTTTCTGTATGACAAATAGTTAACCGGGTCAGAGTTGAAATGTGACTCGAAGTTTTTTTGTGAGACGTGGGCATTTCTTCTCTGGAAGTTACGATTGGATGGCGAGATTTTTTTTTCTTTGTTTGGTTTTTGTTTAATTGTTTTCTTTTGTTTTTGTTTTTTCTTTTTTTGTTTAGCTTTTCTCCACATTTTTAACACATTGTCTATGTTCTTTGGCTTCAGTGATTTCGTTTTCAATTTTCTGAAGTTATTGGTTTCTCACAGAGTATAAATTTTTTTTTTTTTAATTTTCTTTGTAATTGTTTAGTATTTTTCTTTCCATTTTTTATCACTTCTGTTTTTGTTTTTTGTTTTCTTTCTTGTGTCAATTTTTCTAACTGAGGAATATTGTCTCAGCTGTGAATCCTTTTCTTTCTAGTTATTCTTCTTGGAATTATTTCACGCGCTTCAGCCAAATATTTGATAACATTATTCGATTTCTTTCTGTTATTTTGATCAAGATTTATTGACATCAATTTGGAATCAACTTTATTACAGAATTCTAACATTACCGTTTAATTTATAAGGGCTTGGATGCTATATCTTGGTGTATTTCGTAATTTCAGAGAAAGGAAATTATCAGACATAAAGTAACTACCAGGAAGATAACAGATGAGTAACGAGGGCGTTTTAAGTGGAATATGAACAACAAAGAAATGCATGTAATGAGGAAACGGCTCTTCACAACTTCCTGTATTTGGAACTAAAGATTCTGATTCCAGAAATTAGAAAAATGTTTATACTAAAATTCAGATGCAAATTCTGAGATATAAAATAAAGTTATGGTTCTCAACAGTTTTATGTTCTTTGTAGCTATAAGTATCAGGTCATCCCATAAGTTCTGTCCGAATTTTGAATAAAGAAAAAAAATGACCGTATGTTACATTTAATTACAGATTCAATCAACAATGTATTTTCCCTGATTATCTATGACTTCCTTCCATCTATTAACAAGCTTACTAATTCCATTACTGTAAAATTAGAGTTCAAAATCGTCCTTGTAGGCGATAAGGTAATTTCCAGCATGAAACCTCTCTCTTACAGGTGGGATGTGGCGGGCGTCTCACTGCTCTGTTGTTACCGACATGGAAAGTGCTCGGACGAACTGCATTCCTTCGTTCCGTCATTTCTACCCTTCACGTTTAGCAACTGTCAGGCCACCCACATTATAGCAACCTTCCTACATTCCTTTAGTACTATATTACTGAGAAGTTCCACTCGAACACCTTCTCTCGTAAACCACTACTCTGTGGAACTGTCTACCAAGGGGATGCTACCCGACCACTACAGACTTGGCCAATTTAAGTTTTGGGTAAACCGTTATATTTTCCCTCCTATTCGCATAAACTGCCACCTCGAGTGGCCCCTGGGCCTTGTACAATGTGAAAAAAATCTGTCACATTTCTATGGTCTTCCAAAACACTTCCACAGAGTTTACTTTTTATGTGTGCTTGATCTTGATATCAGAAATTTATAGCTCGAATCTTGGGTGTTTCATTTTGCTAGTGACCAGAAAAATACCGGTTTGGACTTTCTATTAGTTCTGTTGAGGGTCTTTTAATTTAAAGAATTCATTTATTCTATTATTTTTTCTTGACCCCTTATTCTATGTGCTGTGGGCGATAATACCTCTCCACAGCTTCCTATCGCTTTTAGTTTAGTTTTTTTTTTTTTTTTTGGTATTTTGTTTTTTTTTTTTTGGAGATGGGGGCTGCCAACACTTCCACCCACACCCGTTCCGCCATTTATTCACCCAAGTTTGGAAAGCGCTTTAGCCTCTTTTTAAACGTTTTACTTTCAGTTTGTTCTGTGCGTGTCAAATTCTCCGAGTCCTCCTTCCTCATTATGTATCCAAGATATTTCAACGGTGTGTCTCTGATTCTAAATACAATTGTCCTTTTAGTTTCCATTTTACTTAAGAATCCGTCGTTGCTAACGCGCTAAATCCGGGGTATTTTCAGCTTGCTTCTGTGGAACTACCTTTCTTTTGCTAGTCTGATATTCATCTGTGAGGAATTTGTCCGGGATTCACGTCCACCATACCTGTCCTTTGAAACTAGGACTCTATATTCCACATCCACAAGGATGAATCATTCTCATCGCCTAAATATTCAATTAGGTAAAAGTAAGTTCCGCTTGGACCGATTCTTCAGAATAACTTTCTGGAACAGGTTCTTGAATGGATGTAATCGTTTACTTTCCTATATAATGTAATAATTGATTGTTTGGCTAATTTTGTTTAGAAGCATATCAACCTCTATGAATTATTTAATTCCGAAATCTAAATATTTCGTACGGAATTGTATGCCTTTAACTAGAGATAAAATGTATTGCTAGTAATTTTCCTTTAAAACTGTATAGTGATTCATTTTACTATATGTAGGGTTGGTCCTTTTTTATTTGAAATTTATTGCTGGTAATTTTACTAGAAAAATGTATTTTCATACTTTCATAGTTTTGATTGGAGTACAATACTTGCCCACAACAGTAACCTTAAGAGGTGCTACCACTCTACAACAGGGTGGCCCCGGGACAACAACATTTAAGAGACGCTTCTACACTCCTCAAAATCTCCAATTTATCGC